AAAAGCACTAAATCCCACATTTATATTATATATTATCTTGCATAATCAATCCTGGAACCTTTAATTATTTAGAGATATCAGATTACTGGTTTACTATTATAAAATAAAATAATTGATAGCATATTCCTGACACATAGAAAAATGTGATAACCAAAACTTGGGTATAGAATAAACACATGGTTAAGTCTAATCACAACATTCAATACCTTTGTAGAAGATAAATTATGTGCTGAATGAATGCATACCTGAAATATCAAAATGTCCCATGCCTACAGGGGCCAAGTAGGTAGTGAGACAGGTGCAAGAAAAACCTAATCAGAAATAAAACGGCCCAGGCCAGACACAGTGGCTCACGCCTGTAATTCTAACACTTTGGGAGGCTGAGGCAGGAGGATCACTGGAGCTCAGGAATTTGAGACCAGCCAAGGCAAGGTAGTGAGACCTCTATTAAAAAATCTCTATTAAAAAATAAAGTACAGCCAGGCGCATTGCTCATGCCTGTAATCCCAGCACTTTGGAAGGCTGAGGTAGATGGATTATTTGAGGTCAGGAGTTTGAGACCAGCCTGACCAACATAACGAGACCTTGTCTGTACTAAAAATATAAAAATTAGCTGGGCGTGGTTGTGCATGCCTGTAGTTCTAGCTACTCCAGAGGGAGGCAGAGGTTGCAGTGAGCCAAGATTGCACCACCACTCCAGCATGGGTGACAGAGTAAGATTCTGTCCAAAAAAAAAGTAAATTTAAAAAAAGAGAAATAAAATGGCCCATCTAAGAGAATGATTGAAACTCAGCTCCAACCCATAAGTTACTATGCAGGAATGCCGGCCCAGTGTTGCCAGAGCTTAGAATTTTTCAGTAACAGCTGGAAGTTAGAATTTGTATGAAACCTCCTAACTCTGAATGTTTATAATCTTTTTTAAAAGCCTAGACAGCGCAAGCCACGCAAAATAAATACGCAGTTCATACGTGGCCCATGTAAGCCTCGGCTTGTGAAGTCAAATGAAGACTCTTTGGGTTGAAAATAAGAAAACTTCATTTCTCTCAAACTTTCTGTTAGTATCTTACTATTCAGCTGAGCAGAAATGACCTTAATTAAAAGTCAAACATATGATACACTATTACCAAGAATAACAACCCCTATAAATAATTATAATACCACTTAAACATGAGAGCAGACACTGGGGCAGAAGTAAAATGCAAGGAAAGCATAGATCTCAGCAATGGATTTCAGTCTGATACAAGACAGTCTCACCTGTCAATACAAAGCACAGTTGCTGGTCTCCACTACTGTCTATAGGAATACACTTTCTGCCAAGGGAAAAACACTGCATGCTCTGGGTCTCCAAATCCCAGAGGGCAATAGTACAGCCCATCCTTTCCACTTTCCAAGTAAACAATGCAGTGAATCCTGTCACAGACACACATTTAAGCTCTAAGGGTTCCTCTTGTTCACTGATGTGCATTATCTTCCATGGTCTTCCTGGATCACTGGTCTTGGCATGATCTTTCTGTGGAAAATTATATTGCCCGTCCATTATGTCCTGTGGAATGAATGCCCAGCTTGTCACACTGGTACTGTGGTTACCAGATTCAGGTGACTCCAAATGCAAAATATCCCTGAACCACGGAACACAACAGGAAACCTTCAGTCTGGAGTTCTTTATTGTTTCATTCAATGATGATAGCTGGGCTTTCCAAGACCTGGAAGACAGGGTAAAATATAACTTAACAGCTATTACAGTAAAAGGCCTGGAAGACAGGATAAAATATAACTTAACACCTATTATAGTAAAAGGCACTATGTAAAACACTAAACCAGTGCACAGATGTTCTTAAGAAAAAAAGTATCTACCAAATAAAGACCTTTAATGAAAGGGTACAGTGTCAGCCTGATAAAAAATTGGAACAATAAACTAAATGAAAAGAAAGTTTCTGTACCTATCAATTTGGAAGGAAAACTTGGTCTGTTTCATGCTGTAGGCAGAGCTAACAGGATCATCTTCATCTATCCCCTTAGGTCCTTGAATAGGAAGGTCTTCTAGTGTTCTTTCACACAGTAGGTGTCCTGAGTGTTGCCTACATTTAAAAATAATGATAGCCATATGAAAAAATGATGATCAAACCCAAATTTGTGTTACTATTGCTCCTATTAAAATTAAAATTAAGAGATCACAGAGAAGGAACAGTATGGACAACAAATTCCCCAGAAAGGAACTTCTTATCTCCTTTGCTTATGCCACAGTAATAAAGCCAACCATAAGAATTTTATTCTATTAAGGGCAGTTAGCTTAATAAAGCAGTAAGAATACTTACTATCTACTATATTTGAGATGTTACGCTAAACACTTCACACAAACTTATTTAAGCCTCTCAACAACACTGTGAGGTAAATATAACCGTATCTTATAGATATGGAAACTAAGGTTCAGAAAAACTTTTTTTTTTTTTTTTTTGAGACGGAGTTTCACTCTTGCTACCCAGGCTGGAGTGCAATGGCGCGATCTCGGCTCACCGCAACCTCCGTCTCCTGGGTTCAGGCAATTCTCCTGCCTCAGCTGGGATTACAGGCACGCGCCACCATGCCCAG